ACTATTCCTACACATAATATTCTACACATTAATGCATAATCTATTATTAACATAGAAAAATACATGAAAAATCACTGAGTAAGTTACACAACATATTATCAATTATCACTATTGCTACACATATGAGAACAAAAACAACATAATAACATAATTATCTACACATTCATTGAATATTCTACACAAGATGCAGTATTAATTTTATCTTGTAACATCTAATACAAGTATTCTGCAATATGATGTTTTAATGTTGACACTAAAGTTAATATTAAAAGTGACATTATGTCCATCCGAGTGTAAATGGTGAGTGCACGGGTCAAAGTAAAAATAACTTTACATTTTGCCATAATTGTGTTCAATTTTATATTTTACAATGCAAAAAAAATCAATAATCCATGTGACCCACGGACATTTCTAAAAATATTGTTTTGAATATATCAGTTACGTTAAATTTCTAAAGAGTGGGGCAGTCTTTTTATATTTTAGGCAGATATAATTATATTTATCCTAAACATTATTCAAATATCCACTGTTGGACAATCACCATGATTATTAAAATTTAACAGTCAATCTTTTGCAATAATTATGTAGTAAATTCAGCTAAACTTGACAATGGAAAAAATAAGCATAATGTCACTTTTATAAAATAGTGTTATCCTTAACCTGTTGGAATTTAAAAAGATTTGCCTTTGCCACCAGTATAGAGCCAGGGCACAGTCTGCATTACATGATACAGACTCTGACCAAGCTATATACTATCCCTTCAAGTTTGATTGGACTGTTCCGAATTCAAAAGCACAAATTCTGCAGGTTTAGGAATAACATATTAAAATGTTCTACGTACACAATGTTTCAAACTTCTATGGGTCAAATAAATTGCTAAATTGCACCTTGCTATTAAAGCTCATTCCAGAGTTACAGCCCCTTACATAGCACATGAAAAAAACAGTTCTAAACATAAACTACACATTAATGTTCATCCGCTTCTATTCAATAGCATGGATGGCCATTTTTACATCCTCTATTCTATACGCTGATTTGCAGAAGGCTTACAGTTATATGATGCACTTTTCCAAGATAATATTACTGAAATACTTAGTTTGAAACAACACAGAATTGATTTTCCATCAGAAAATAAAAGCTAAAGGCCACTTGAAAGGATACTGGACCATCCATGCTATTGTTACTTAATTGCTATCATTAAGAACCATGCAGAATGTACAGGTTTGAGCACTGACATGTGCCTATGTTACCGCTGTGAGCCACAGGTGCTCTAGCACTTGTAACTCCTGGAGGGTTTCCTACAAATTAATCAACTGTATTATTATACAAAATCAAAAGGGTAAGTTTGTCAAATAAAAGATAATTCAATCAAAAGATCAATCAGGCAAAGGAATAATACATTTTGTTTACAGGCTTAAATTCTTTTAGCAGACTATCTTTAACACCCAGTATTTTCTTACGTTTCCAGCTTTACTGAGGTGAAGCCGAAGGCTCATGTATACATTACTGCAAGTATGTCAGCAGGCAATCCAGTAGAACCATCCACCTTCCGTACTAAGCTACCTCTGGTGAGCTTCCTGACAGGATTTGAGTCAACAGTGGTGAAAGTCTACTGAGGCATGAAATACAGCCTTATGGATAATTTGTTTGTTTGTTTAATTGTGTTTTATGTCACACAGTAACAGTATAGGTCATAATTGGTGACAATCCAGCTTTTAATGGTGGATGAAGATGTTCCTCAGGTGCCCTTCCATGCATCCTTTCAGGCATAAATGAGCACACCAGGCAGTAGAACCACCGACATTCCATAAGCTTAAGCTGGATTATAGACTAAGCTTACTCATGTGAAAGAATGCAGAGTCCCTGTAGGGATTTGAACCCACAGCGGTGATGGACAAGTGGTTTGAAGTCAACAAACTTTAACCAATCGGCCACAGACGGGCCCCTTATTTATAATACATTAAGCAGCGGAATGGCAGTTTTCTAGCTGTATTTAAACCTTAACTATATTATTCCTTTGATTTTTTTTATATAAAATATGCTGTTAATATACTGCAATTTTTCAAACACAACAAAAAAATATGAAAACCAAACAGTTCATACAGTACTGGCATTACAACTTCAGCGAGCAAAAATTGTTTGCCTTTAAATTCAACAAAGAATTTTTTTTTTAATTTAAGAAATGTTTGACAAATGTGGGACAAAATTATGTAAGTAACCATACAAAATCCAGACTTTTGTTTCTATGACTGTATATAATTCACCTAATTAAAGTATTATGACTGTACATTATTCAAATGTGAAATTTCTATGGGAAAAAAAATGTTGTCATTTTCTTAATGGCTACATGTATGTGCTTAGAGTTAGCCAAAATAATATTTTTAACATTAAAAAATAAACACAATATGTATTTATGAATCAATTGTGCATTTAAGAAATAAATTGTCATAAAAATTGTATTAAATTTGTCTATTATTAACATTGCTATATGGGAAATAACTCAAAAAAATTCTCAGTCTATTCATTAAAATAAATTACCTCCCTTTATATTAAAATAACATTTTCTAAAAGCATAAAAAACTTCTTAAGCAAAATAAATTTAATTGATCAATTATATATTTTCTTTATGTTTTCTTTTTTCCCTTTAAAATATGAACTTCAAAGCAGACAATATACTAAGCAAATAAATCTATGATAAAAATATATAGATTAAATATATGCAAAAAAAAAAAGTATTATACATGCACAGAATATTAATCAAATTCAGCATTCCACAATATAAATCATGGCCACAATGTTATCTAGCCATTCAGACACGCACACACAGACAGACAGACAGACACTATATATTCTGTACCTTCAATTCTTGCAGCAGCTACCAGGATTAAAACAAACAAAAATAGTTCCAGATAATTATCATGCAATTAGATTATTACAATTTCCTTAGTCATTACATACATAAGTTACTAACATCCAGAGCTCAAACTATAGTGAAAATTTCTATGTTTTAATTTTCAGGTGAAAGTTATCCATTTATATCTCAGTCATAGGTTACAGGTTATAGGTTGCATTCTTTATATTAACCAATATTTCAATTTCTAAAACATAAAATGTTACTAAATGATTTTTTTCTACTACATTATATTTAATATGTTAAGCTCAAAATGCTTCAGTCACAAAGACCCTTGTTACTAATGTAGATATGATAAAAAAGTGTGATATTCTATTGATTCTACTTTTTATAGTTTCAGGGGAAATTATTTCAAAAGCTAAGGAAAGAGAACATTAAATATTGAGGGAATGATTTGCTCTCGAAAGTTTTTCAATTAAGTATCAGCAAATAATTTGTAAGACTAATATGTCATCAACTTTCTATGTTTCAGCTCTGGAATACTGTTTCATCATGCAATAATTTTTCTAGCACCAACTTCTTTCATTAACCAAAGAGTCTAAAATCCAAGGGTGTTTTTTTTTCATTGCTGTAAGTCAATTTCAATAATTTGCTTCAAAAATTATTATTATTCAACTTCGGCTTCTTAGAAAAGTCAAGTAAAAGAAAGTCACAATTTTGAAAAAATAGTTTGGTGAGTTTTTATAAGTGGCATTTTTAATGTATAACTTTGTCATTTTAGAAATTCAAACTCCTTGGGTTGAAAGAACTTGTCAGTGCCGTTAACTAATCTAATCTTGTAAATAACTGGTACATATTACTTGATTACTATGTACAAATACATGCTTTAATATTCAAACATGTTCTATATCACAAGCACGGAATTAAAGTCTGCAACATATTCATTTTTATCCAAGGCAACAGATATATGTGCCAATGAAAACAACCAATTTGGCCAAGTGTCAAGACAAGGGGAATATTTTATAAATCTACAGGCTGAAAATACAACTAATTTCAACAGCATTTCAACCAATGATATGGACCACCAACCTATTTATAATGATAACACTGAGCCTGATGCAAATTTATACAGATGTCATTTATTCCTTATTTTGTATTTTTTCAAAATTTGACATACTTTCCCACTATATAATCTTACAATAATGCTCATGACTAAAAGCAAGAGCTAACTTATTTGCATAATTTTTTAGATAAAAACAATTTATTTTTAGATATAAAAAGAATTATATTTAATACCTCTATAACATCATAAAAAGAATAAAAATACAACAAATAATAAGCCTGGAAAAAATACATAAAATGTGGTCAGTTGCTATGGAAACATAAAATGCCTTAAGTCACATATTAGTTTGGAATCTCTGCAACACAGCAATGGTTTTACTGCACATCCACAATGGTTGCTAAGGGCAAGGTTGCTAAGTAGCACATCATGATAAACACAAAAACAAGGAGGGAATATACATTTAATGCAATGGTTAATGGGTGAAACAAAAAATAGGTTTCAAGAAAAAGTAAATAGTTTATAATTGGAGGAAACAAAATACTGAGTTAAATGGATATAATGGTGTTGTTTCTAATTTTTTACACAATAATCATTGCTACACTTATAAATATTGAAAAATGTTCTTATAGTTTATACATGTCATATATTTCAGTTTATACATGTCATATATTTCAGTTTATACATGTCATATATTTCAGTTTATACATGTCATATATTTCAGTTTATACATGTCATATATTTCAATGTTGCTAGGTAACAGTTGCTATGGGCATGCAGGAAAGCAAGGGTGCAAGATGTATAGTTTCTTTTTTGCTAAGGTCAAGTTGCTTGGCAACAGTTGCTATGGGCATGCAGGAAAGCAAGGGTGCAAGATGTATAATTTCTTTTTTGCTAAGGTCAAGTTGCTTGGCAACAGTTGCTAATGGCATGCAAAAACATGCAATGAAAGCAAGGGTGCAAGTTTTTGCATTCCTTATTTTACAATGATAACTAAGGTCACAGTTGCTAGGCAACAGTTGCTATGGACATGCAATTAAAGCAAAGGGTGCATTATTTTTTAATGTTTTTGTTTGTTTTCATACATACCGTACATGTCCTTCATAGTAAGGTTACCAAGGCCTGCGGGAATTTTCATAAAACTTGGTTTACCACCGGGAGCAGCTACAGTGTGTGAGACAGAAATGAGAGAAAAGTGAAAAAAGTCAAAGAAAGAGAGAGAAAAGAAGAAAGAAACATAGATAAAACTCAAAATTAGTGTCAAAAATTACCATAATTATAATAACAGTGTTATAAAGTACACTATGAATTCAGCAGAAAACTGTCATACATCTGCTGGTAAAGAGAGCAAAATACAAAGATTTTTGTCAAAGAAGATCAAATAAATAGAAAATTAATGGTATTTTTTTTCATATTTAGTATTATATGCTTGTTTGGTTTGTGGTTTTTGCTGTTCTTGTTTTCTTTGTAATATTTGTTTTGTTATTGTTTTTTTGTTTTTTGTTGTTTTTTTTTTTTGTTGTTTTTTTTTTTTTTGGGGGGGGGGACTTTTTGTAGGACAGTGTTCTGCAAGTACCATACTGTACAAATGGTTCACAAAATTATTAGTCATTTTTGTGGTTAAATCTATTTCTTTCCGTCACAAATACTAAACTTTCTTCATGATATTTCTCTTTGCTTTGTTTTGGAAATTCTTTTCCATTTTCTATAATTGTTTGGGTTTAGATTTTCTTTCTGTTTGTTTATTTTTTTCCTTTTAAGCAGCATGCCTTCAGATTCATGCAATTTTATGCAAAATTTTCATGAACACTTTGAAAATGATATTATGAAGTGAACAAAGAAAGTAATTTACACAATCCACATAAATTACCAAACAGAGGTAAAAATGTGCAAAAAATAGCCCTTCAACAATTACTGCATTAGTCATGAACTAAAAATGTGGTAATAAATACCGCAAAATCAGTCATTAATCGCACATAACATGTAAATTATGAATTAAATCTTGAAATTTTTTACTTTTTTGAAAATCATTTTATTTTCTTGAAATATTTTGGCTCATTTGGCATGTTTGCTTTAAAAAAAAAAATTCAAAAAATAAAATATTATTAAAAAGAAATATACTTGGTTTTAGACAAATAAGCACCTCTTGGTTATTTTTACAAGCACCACAATAGCCTTATTTCTAATATGAACAAGTATTTGAACTTTTATTTATAATAGTTTACAAGCCAGAAAGATATAGATTAAGCTGTAATGGAAAAATATCAATAGATCTAGCAGGGCTTTTTCTGGTTAATTTTCAATACAAGTTTTGAAATTGAGCCCAAAGTGACCAAATTAATTTGAAAGCAACATAAGCCATGAATCACATGACTGATACAGAAGTGTGCAGCAACTCTGATTTAACTTTCCTCTTCATAAAAAAAGAGTAATTTTAACAATTTTCATTAAATATCCTTTCAAAGGCGGGAAACCGGTAGATATTTTTCATATAGAATTATTATAATAGTTTTGCTAATAAATATGTTGTAAAGTTGGATTCCACTTACAACAGGTTATATAATCATTACATAACATTGCATAACATTACCCAAGAAGTATGGCATATATAATCTTCATATATGTATTTTTGAAGAAATATTAAGGCTTGAAACTTTAACTTAGATTTAAACTTATTTTAAAGTTTAATGATAAATTATTAAACATGTATTGTTCTATAGACATTTCATTCTCATCATTCACTAGTTTAATGTTGATTATAATTGTATTGAATAGTTTGTAGAACTTGGTAATTAATAATTATGCAAATGTTAAATCTACAACTTGTGCTATTGATACACTCGTTAACAGTAACTTAGCATGACCTAAGACCCTTCACATATTACAATATATAGAGAATGGTTCTAAATTTACTTACACTTGCCTTTAAACTTAGTGAAGCACAAGTTGTATATTTAACATTTGCATAATTATTAATTACCAATTAGATGGAACCAGAAAAAGCCCTGGCAAAACAAAACTTATAACCAAGTCAGAGTATTAATAAGGTCACAATGTTAAGTACATGTACTTCAAACAAACAAGATAATTATATAAAACTCTTCTGTTAGCAAAGGAAATTTCAGACATCAATTAAAAGTGTATTGTAGCGTAAGATGGTAGACAGAAATCTTTTAATGAAAATCTAGTTAATTCTGTTAAAATTTTTCACTCAAGCAGCAAAGCTATATATGTTTTACAAAAATAGAAGACTTTTCTTTGTGTCAAACTTAGTAACATTGTTGAAATATATTTTCAAGAATAAACTTCCAAAAGAGAAATTATCATGTGGCATTTGAATATAAATAGATCAATGCCAGTTGTCTAGAAATAATATCAGCCACTACTTATATTAATACACCTTTAATATCTATTTATTTGTCAGAAATATTATACCATATATTCCCATATCAGTATTATCAATTTGTAAACAATATATCCAAACGAAACATCTTATGAAAACTCAAAGCTTATTCTTTTAATTTACTAATTAAAAATACCAGGACTGGTCAGGTTTTGCCAGCACCCCACCCCCACCTCCCTCACCAAAAAAAAAATAGTTTCTGTGAATTCACTTAATTTCATGTGCATAAAATTTCATAGTTTTGTCACAAAGAACATTTTTGTGTGTTCTTAAATTCGTGGACTGTTTATTTTTCCAAAAATAAAATGTAAATAATGTAAAATGCAAAATGATCTTACAGCAGATGAAACGAAATTTTGTTGCATCTTAAATTTGTGGATTAACCTATCCACAAAAACCACAAAAAATTAGTTCCCCCTAAATAATAATGATTTTACAGTTGTAGGGAATATATGGTAAGGTAAATTTCAATATCAGTTACATTATAATATACCTTCACCATACTGTTAGACAACAATGTCAAATTATTTACTATAATAATTAATGGAAATAAACAATTAACAAGTAAGAGAAAAACTTAAAAAAAAGAAAAATCCAAAAATCCACACCAAAAGTAAGCTGCATCAAAATAAAAGACAGAGAAAAGATGGCAAATTAAAGAGGCGTCGTATTTTTTCGAGTTCAGCAACTAAATGCAAGTTTTGTTTCTGTAAATCTATATTTTGTCATTTTTTTTTTATTTTTATTTTTTTATTTTTTGGGGGGTGTATATAGTGGCTTTACTCTTTGAGCGGTAACAGCACACTGGACTAACCTATGGTAGCAGTATAGAGCCAGGCCCGACCTTCACCTTCCCTGCGTTATGACCAAACTGACGTCTGCTCATTTTTTGTGTTTTATTCCTGAAATCCCTGAAAATTAACATTGGACACTTCCAAATTGAAAAATGGGCAAGTCCATTTAAAAAAAATAGGTGGGAAATATATAGAAAAACAAAACAAACTTGGGGGACTCCATCACAAATGACAATGTTATTAAGATTTACAGTAACGACAAAAAATGGAAATAGTAGTGTGCATAGTTTTTTGTGTTCTTTAAAAGCCTGAAATGAAAGAAACTATTGAAAATAAGATAATACTCAAAGGGTGGTAGGTACTTACATGCAAAGAAGTTTTGTTGTAGTCCACTGGCCTCTTGTTGTCTTCTTTGAAGCTCACGTTCCCTCATTCTGTAATCATTTATTTAAAACTCAATCAGTACTTTTATCTACTTTAAGTTCTCATTAAACATAGTTGTGGCTCCCACTGAGATTCAAACCCTTACATGTATTTCCTCAGAGGCTTACATCAAACTAACAACCCATTCCCATGATAGAAAAAAAAATCACTTTTTACAAATTTGTCCTCTTTTAGTAATTTAATAGATTTTTAAATTTATTACCATGATCATGTAATGAAAATAGTTTAAAAGCAGTGACAACAATTATTCAAGTAGCAACCACTACCCCTAATAGTAAAGATCAGTTTTTATTGTTTTTTAGTAGTTTGTTTTGATTGCTGTTTTTTTTCTGTTTTACCAGACTTTTTTTAGTTTTATGACATATGAATGAGGGGGGCAGGGTGATAAAGACTTGCCTTTGTCTGTCCCACTATTGTTCTAACTTCTGACACATTTTTAGTCTTACCTTAGCTTTATTACATATCACGATTGCACTAAGTAAAACTCAATTTGTACATGTATAACTGATGTTTCAATAATGTTTAGGCTCGTGTAATGAAAATAGCTCAAACCTTTGCACAGCTTTCTCTTTAGCCGCGTTACGTTCCTGTTTCGAGCCAACATGCTCATGAGGTTTAATATCAATCAGTTTATTCTTCTTCGTCTGCTCTTCTTCCATCTCAGTGGACGTGCTGAGAACAAACTCAACAAACTCCCTGTATTCATTGCAGCAATATAGCACCTCAGGAGCAAACTGCAAAGAAATGTAACTCTTAATTACTTCCCTAAAAGAGTTGTGTCCCTTGAATAAAAAACATGTTTAAAGTAACAGAGAACTTTCAATGAACTCTTTATAACATTTCTTTATTAAGAATTGTGTCTCTTGAATTAAACCAAGTTTAAAAGAAAAAAAAGAACTTGCTATAAAAAATGCAACCATGCCAATAAAAAGGAATTTACTTAAATATATGCAACCATGCCAATGAAAGGAATTCACTTGAATATAATTAGCAACCATGCCAATCCAAGGGACTTACTGGAATATAACTATGCAACCATGCCAATGAAAGGGATTCACTTGCATATATGCAAGCATGCCAATAAAAGAGACTTACTGGAATGTAACTATGCAACCATGCCAATGACAGGGACTTACTGGCATACCGTATAAGTGGTTTTTTCTGCGGTGACTTTATTTCTGCGTTTTCTGCGTTCAGTTTCAGCACCGCAGAAATAAAAACCGCAGAATATTTCTCTAACCTGCTATGATATGTGTCCTGCATTATGACCTGTTTCGTCTACAGTAATAACGACTAACGGAATATAACGGTAAGCTGGTTTTCAAGTTGTATAAAGTAAGTATGTTATCTGTGTTTGTAAG